GCCGGTGAGCCTGCGCGTCCGGAGCCTGTGCTCTGCAACGGGAGAGGCCACAACAGTGAGAGGCCCGTGTAGCGCAAAAATAAATAAAATAAAATAAATAAATAAATGTTATGGAAAATAATAAAACTAGGTCTGTGGGGTGCCGCAGTTTTGAGTAAGGAGACTAGGGTGGGTCCCACTGCGAAGGTGACATTTGAGCAAAGACTTGACTCTGCTTGTCTTCCATTCATGTGTCGATGCTTCTTGACCGCAGGTGACCCCCTGTCCCATCCCCTTCATTGTGGAGAGTTTATACGCCTTTTCTCCTTTGCTCCTGGTGTCATGATCTCCCAGGAGGGGAAGTACACGCTCACTCTGCCATCGCCCACGGAAGCCCCGTTCTGGGTTTTGTTTTTGTTTTTGTGTTTTTTCAGCCGTGCAGCACGGCACATGAGATCTTAGTTCCCTGACCAGGGATCAAGCCCGCACCCACTGCAGTGGAAGCGTGGAGTCTTAACCACTGGACCGCCAGGGAAGTCCCCGGTTCTGGGTTTTGATGGTGCATCTGGGGGGACCACAGTTGGGGCGGGCTGTGACGGGCTATGCTGCATGCAGTGCCAGCAGCAGCCCAGGCAAACCGAGTCCCCAGATGGGTGGGAGGAGGGGGGAAGAGGCTCTCCCTCCAACAAGAGGCCAAAAAGGAGCCGAGGATGCAGAGTGGAGAGCACGGACTCCGGGTGACTGGGCGAGTCACTGCCCCTCTGGGCCTCTGTTTCCCCAGCAGTAAAATGAAGGGCTGGGTCCAATTTGCACCCTCTCCCTTCTTCCCAAAGTAGATGGTCCGGGACATCCAGAGAGCATCTGAGGCTGAGACTTTGCAGTAACTGATGGGGAAATGTCTGGAAGCTAGAGTTCTTGGGTTCTTTAAATCCGAGCACAGGGCAATGTCAGCTTCAGGGTATCTCTCTGGGAAGGAGACTGGAGAAGGGCTGGGACCACAGCACTTTCCTCATCTGACCCAGAGGCCAGCTGAAGGTGATGGCAGAGAAGCACATACACATTTGATGTCCCTGTTCTCATCCTCCCTTTTCATCCCCAGAGTCAGCCGAGAGGCTGATTCCTGCCCCACATTACAAAAGAGGAAACTGAGGTTCAGAGACAGCGAGCGACTTGCCCAAGGTCATTCATGATACATGATGGGGCCTGGTCCTCAGATCCCTTTGAATGTGGTCCTTCCTTGGGATGGGAGGACAGTCCTCACTGCAGGGATGAGATGAGAATACTGTCTACTACAAGTGACAGAAACCCATCTCAAACGTGCTTAAGCAAAAAAAGGAAACTTACAGCTCATTGATTCAGTCAGGATAGGCTGGGTTATGCTGTGGTAACAATCAGCCCCCAAATCTTAGCAGATTAGAATAAAAGATTTATTTCTTGCTCACAATACGTGTCCATCACAGGTGAACTAGAAGTTCTGCTCCACATCTCCCCACTCGAGGCCCTGGGCTGAAGGAGAAGCCACCATCTCACACATCACTCGTCACTGTGGCACAGAGGAACACTCTGAAGGACATCATGACTGTCAGTTCAATGCTCTGGTCCAGAGGTGAAGCTTACCACTTCTGCTCACCACTCATTGGCCAATCCTGGTCACGTGGTGCCATCTGACCACAAGAGGGGGCAGAAGGCCAAGAGCTGGAAATACTTGGCGAACAGTATGACTTCCATACTCATGTACCTCAAAAGTCCAGGGGGAATGTAGTTTCAGGCATGGCTGGATCCAGGAGCTTAAGAGGATATTACCAGGAGTATATGCCCACATCCCAGCACTGCTTTCCAGTGTGTTGGCCTCATATTAGGTGAGCTGTTTCTTCCTGGTGCCCCCCTCCCCGGTCCCACCACCCAGCAGCTCCAGGCTCAGTCTAGCCCTACAGCTGAGCGTCCCAGCAGGAAAAGCGTACGGACCAGCTTGGTCACATGTCTGAGCCTGAACTGGCCCTGAGGCCGGGAGGATAGAATGCTCTCTTGGCCAGGCCTGGGTCACTCCCAGAGCTGGGGTCAGCTACCCCAACGATGCTGTGAGGGCAGAAGCACAGGCACCCACAGGTGTTTGCTGAGAGTTTCTTCGCCCCTGACCTAGATGCCTTCCAGCGGAGCAAGGTGAGGACAGCTGGACTTGGGATCAGGAGCCCAGAGTTCAAGTTCTGACTCTGACATCTAATTCAGTGTGTGACCTCAGGCAAGTCAGCGGCCCCTTCTGCACCTTCATTTGTCAGATGGATACCCTACCCCTTGGAGCCTGCAGATGGAAAATGGCTGGGTCAGGAACAGAATGTGGCATCCTCCTGCCTCTGAAGACAGGGTCATTAGCAATTCTGGCCTGGGCTCTGGGTGACAGGGAACTGCCTTCCCCACCCCCATGTGTTCAGGGCTCAGTCACACCTCCGGGCCTTCGCTCAAGCTCTTCCCTCTGCCTGAGTAGCTGGTGTCCCTAACAACTCCTATTCATTTTTCAAAGCCCAACAAACACCACCTCCTCCCTGAAGCCCCCCAGGGCCTTCCTGCTGCCTGTCTGGGCTCCAACCCGTGGTGTGCCGGGGCTGCCTCATACCAGCTAGGAGAGTTGATTGTAAACATCTCTTCCAACCCCATGTTTAAAGCCGTCAAGTTGGTAGCTTGAAATTGACTGTGGTAAAAGTGTTCACACCATGGAAATAAGCAAACACTGCAAATCAGGCTTTATTGAGGGCCCACTAGGTGCCTGACGGGGAGTAAAGCAGTGAACAAAAGAGGCAAAGTTGTTGCCTTCATGGAGCTTAGGTTTGATATTTCATCCTTGTCTCTAGCAACTGTTTATCTCCATCCATCTATCCAACTGCTCTTCCTTCAAGCATTTTACCATCCTTTTATCCATCCATCCACCCACCAATGTACCCACTTGTCCATCAATCATCCATCCACCCCCTCCTACTAATCCGGCCTCCCAGGTGGGCCAGTTCCTGTCTCCGTTCTGCACCCACATTTATGACCTGGGTCCCCTTCAAAGACAGAGCTGGTGAGGAGCCACGTCTGGCCCAGGCCAGAGCCCCATCCCCCTGACCCCTGGCCTGGCATCAGCCAGTGTCCCAGGTGTCCCCTCCCCCTACTCCCCGGCCCAGAGCTGTGTGTGCTGGAGAGAGAGCTGAGCTGCCTCCACGGGGAGCCTGGGGCTCACGGGGTGCCTGGAACCTGTGGCCTCCTTGAGGGTGTGAAAACGGCAGCACACCTTGACCCAAGCGTCTCCAGGGTGACGGTGGGGGATGGGGAGGGCTGCTCACACCTGCAGGAGCTGTGGTTTCACACTTGAGCTCCCATCCGAGCCTCACGCCTTGATCCCAGGTTAACAGTCCCACTATTAAGACCATCAATGTTCTAGAACTTTCAGAACCAAGGAATCCCGTGTTCTCTCAGTGACTTCTTCCAACGTTCCCTTTTACAGAAGAGTCACAGAGAAACCATCAGCAGCGTCGACAGCTGAGCCCTCGTCCAAAAGCAGAGACAAGCCAGGGCTTCAGGCATCGCCTTGCGTGCAGCCTGGCCTTTGGGGAGGAGCACAGGCCAGGCAGGTCCAGGCCAGGGCGGGGATTCCCCTCAGGGCTCTGAGCCCGCGGCTGAACCAGGCTCTGCACCTTTAACCCTGCTTCATGGCCTCGAAAAAGCAGCCTCTACAGGTGAGCACCCCTAGGAGGAAAATGATCTCTTTTCTTTTCTTTCTTGCTTTTTTTTTTTTTAAAGTATGAGTTGTATGCAATGTGCAGCACCAATATCGAGCTCCTGTCCAGAGCTGACGTTCAATAAGGTGCCTTCAAAACGTCACTAAGAAGTATTTTCTCAGCATCTTAAATTCACATTTCAGCAGTTTCTCCGACAAATTATCAAAAAGAACTTGACTTCCTCCAATTCCCCAGGACAAGCAAGTAAGATGCCAGGGGATCAGGACCACTGTGTCATTGCTGCCGAGTCCGGCCTGCGGCCCTCCCCAGTGTGAGTGCCAAGGGGAGCGTCCTCTCGCTGTATCCCAGCACCTGCATGTACTCAGTAAATGTGCTCAATACATATTTCTGGGGGTGCATAAAGGGAACAACAAAATGGGCAGCAGGAGGCAGAAAAAGAAATCTTGGTTGGTGAGGGGCTGATTCTAAGAAACTAAGCTGATTTTAAACCTGGAATCCCCCAAGTGCCCCTCTGCAGGGTGGGACAGCCCGCAGGTACCTGGGCTGTGTCTGGTTTCTCACTCCCACCCACCTCCAGCACAAGCCTTGGTCCTGGCCGCAGAAGGAAGGAAGCTGACGTCTATTGAGAGGCGGCTGCACACTGTACATGGGCGACCTCTCCAATTTCTCCCCAGGGTAGGTCAGGCCGCCCCCATTATTAAGACAGGAAACTCCAGCCCAGAGAGGGGAAGTGACTCACCCAAGGTGGCACAGCCAGGAGGTGTCAGAGTCAGGATTCAGACCCAGGTCCACTGGCTCCCCCCAAAATCTTCCCACCCCCAGGGTCACTGTGGGCTCACTTTGTCCCCTTCCCCTCCCCCTGAAAGGCGATAAGGAACAGTTTGGACTTCGTGTGGCTCTGCAGGCAGGACCTGGGGGGCTGGGCTTGGTGTCTGTCCCAGGCAGTGCCCTGGTCTCGGCACGTGACCCGGGGGTCACCCACGTGCCTCGGAGGGACGGAGGCTGTCATCACGTGCCCACAGACACGCGTGCCGCTCACATTCGCACACACAGGAAGCTCACGTCGGCACAGACACATGAGTGGCCTTGGGAATATGGCAGAACCACGGGCGAGCTCCGTGTCCACAGGCACGCAGGCTACTCACACGCGCAGCCATGCCAGTGGGCACCTGAGCCCCAGACATGCACTGTAAACACCAGGCTCAGGGGTCCCAGCCGGGACAGGTGACCCTGTCCTCAGCACAGGTGACCCTGTCCGTGGCTCGTGGCTCAGTGGCATGGCCGGCTCTGGACGGCCAGTCAGCCTCACTAGCTGGCCTGGGGCCCAGGCCCTGCAGGTGGAGGGGCCATGACCACCCACTGGCGGAGGTAGCTCCTGGGGGGCCCTTCGTCCTTGGGGCTACTGAAGTCATGCTCCTCGGGGCTGCCGCAGTCAGAGTCCGCAAAGCCGCTGTCAAACGTGTCCATGTCCAGGCCAGCTGGGGGCGAACCTGCCTCGCTGTCCGACACCCCTCGGGGCGACCCGCCATCCCAGGGCGGCCCGGGGGCCCAACCCTCCTCATCCTTGAGGTGCAGCTTTATCCTGTCAAGGAGGCTGCCCAGGGGGCCCCCTGGCCCGGCAGGGCCACTGGCTGAGACGCAGCCACAGGATAGGACTGTGGCCCCCGTGCCCAGGACCGAGTCCTCCGTGCCCGGGCCAGGCTCCAGGCTGGTGTCCAGGTTCAGGGCTGGGTAGCCGTCATCCCCGCAGGTGCAAGGCCAGGTGCACAGCCCCCCTGCATCCACCACGGTCACCGTGTCGATGGATACCAGGCCGTACGGCCGGTCCCTCTCCTGGCTGTGAGCTGAGCTGCCCAAGCTGCCGGCGGTGGAGCGGGCTGGGCCCCAGGAGCCCGGCTCAAGCACCCCGTCGGCTTCCACCAGGTCTGGGGGCTCCGGCAGCTCTGTGGGCACCAGCCCCTTGGCTGCAGTCTGCAGTAGGCACTGGCTGTGCATCTCCAGGGACAAGGGCACCCCTGGGCTCCAGGATCTCAGTTCCAGGCTGGCAGCAGTGAAGGGGGTGCCCACCCATCTCTGCGAGAGAGAAGAGTGGGGAGAGTCATGGATGGGATGGGGGGCAAGGGCTGGCGGGGGAGCATATCAACAGACAGACACAGAGACGAGACAGACAGCAAGAGAGAAAGAGACAAAGACTCCAGAAGATAAAGAGAGAGATGGGGGTGGGGGGAGATGAGCACCGTGCTGTGTCCCTATCCAGGGACAGTCCCTGCCGCTGTCCCGACCTCCCTAGGCCTCAGTCTCCCTGCCTGTAGCACGGAGCCACGGCCCTCAGCAGCCTGCAGGCGCAGACAATCTGCTGCTCAGTGGTCTGGGGTCTGTATGGGTGCGGGTCCAAGATTCCCAAGCTGTGGGGACGAGGGGCGGGAGGCCCTGAGAGCTGAGTGACAGAGCCCCCACCAGGCCTTCTGTTTTATGTCCTCGGGGAGATTTCTCGAAACCACGCATTCTTCTGTTTGTGTCCTCACTAGAGTGGACACGTGACCAGGGAAGAAGCCCCAATTCTTCTGGTCACGGCTGTGTCCCCAGAGGCTCACACAGTGCCTGGCACACAGTAGGCACCCAATAAATGTATATTAACTAAATGAATGAATGGAGTGAATCAAGGACCAGCCACTCAGAATAGATAAGGGCTGTGGGGTGACAATGGACTGAGGCAGCTGTCCCTAAACTTTAAGGATCCCCCTGCCCTCACCTGCCAGGGGTCCCACTCATGACACAGGGTCTCCATCCAGTTGGCAGAGAAAATCCCTGAGAACCAAAATCTCCCAGTTTTGAGCCTACTCCATCAGAAAGCTCCTCTCAGAACCGTGCTGAGGCCACCACCCCTGATTTGAAGTCACTTCTCAGCTGTGTGGCCTTAAGCCAGTTACTTACCCTCTCTGTGCCTCAGTTTCTGCATCTGTAAAATGGGCCTGCTTACAGTCCCCACTCCACTGGGTGGTTGTGGGGATTAAAATGATAAATTAAATAACATCTGTGGTGCTCCTAGCAGAGTGCCTGGTGCACAGCAAGTGCTGTGTGAGTATTGGTAAAACAAACACAAAACAGATGTGATATTTGAGCTTCAGGGAAAGTGCAGAGGAAAGAGGAAAGGGTCTATCCAATGTGGGCTGCAGCCTAGGCTCCTCCCCTGCTCAGCTCTGAGCCTCGGTCTCCTCGTGGTTCCCATGGGATGGTGGAGCACGCCCTCCCCACCTGCAGGGGCTGCTAAGAGGATGAAAGGGTGGAGGTGAGACAGCGCTCAGTGAGCGCCAGGCAGATGGCATGTCTCACTTCCTGACTTCCAGACTCTGCTGGAGCAGGTGGGTCACCACATCCTCTCTGCGGTGACTGCCGACACCGGGTGGGTGGTGGTAAATAGGCACAGAGAACCCAAGGGCGATGGAGCTGGTAGTGGGGGTTGGGGCCTGGATGGGGCTGGTGTATTTTGCAGGCAGGGCCATATCCTTCCCAGAAGTTGCTCCCTCTCCACCTCCATAGCAAGGGCTTCTACCGAAGGACCAGGAGGCCACTTCGTGGCTCAAGGGACCACCTGGCTCACCCTCTCTCCCAGTTTGGTTCCTTGGGTTGGGAAATGCTACAGGATCTTGTTTAATTCTTACGCTAACTCTGCCCCACTGGAATTGTTTCCTGCGCTTTGCATGTGCAGAGACTGAAGCCTGGTTCCAGGCCGAGTCGGGGATCTGGGTGCCCCAGGCCTACAGGGTGGGGCTGGTGGTCTAGGTGTGTGGGTGGAAGCAAGCTCCCAGAGGGTGAGAGGCTCCCAGGGGCTCATCATGTGGTGGGGACACTCACCTTGAAGTCTCCGCTGTGGCCCATGTACAGGGGCTGGAAGAAGGGCTCTGGGCTGGGCACCTGCACCCACACCTTCTTCCATAGCCTGGAGGGCAGAGACGAGGTGAGCCCCCCGCATCTCCCAGAGGGCAGCCGGGCCTCCCGCTCAGATGCTCCCCAAATGTGTCCTGAGGGAGGCTCAGAGCCTCCAAGACACACCCAGGCCCCTCCCTTCCGCCCCTCTGCACCAGGCCTCAGTTTTCACATCTGTAAAAAGGGGCAGCGAGTCTCCTGAAGGTGCTCCGAGTTGAAGGGCTTGGCTGCCTATTCTCTGCTAAGCCAGGGCTGGCCCCTGAGCCTTGACTTCCTCCTCCACCACCAGGGATGAGCCAACAGCCAATTCCATGGGGCTGTAGGGCGGGGTCAGGAAGCATAGGCACAGCACCAGGCACCCCAGCACCCATAGACTGGTCTGCAACACCCTCTGTGATTCGCAGTCTTCTCTGCCTTGAACAGGGTATGCAGGGCCCCCGCCCAGTGTCTGCCACTTAGCAAGGGCTCAGCCTCATCCAGTAGCATGCACGAAGGCCAGGGGAGCTTAGGTTTTATCAATATTTTTAATCAGCATCAGCTCTTCTCTCAATGGCCACGTTCAGCAGAAACCCAATACATAAAGAGATAAAAGCAAAACCTCTGGTTTTGAAGCAGGATTGTCGGGGGTTTATCCCACCAGCCCTTAACCCCCACCTGGCGGCCCCTCCTGACCCTCAGGACTCAAAGCTTAAAATTCACTGGACAAGATCACAGCTGAGGTCACTGTTATGAGCACAGGCCGAAATTCCTTCTCCACTTCACTGTTGTGTGACTTTGGGCAAGTTCCTAGACAGCTCTGTGCCTCAGTTTCCCCATTTGTCAAATGGAAGTAAATGCCGTGTATCAAGCTCATATGGCTGCTGTGAGGGTTAAGCATGTGCTCTACACAGTGCCCAGTTTATTATCACCATCACTGTCATTACTATTGTCATGGTGACAGGTGTGTCCTCCAGTCCTGGCCCAGGCTGAGCCCCTCCCTGCTACCCTCTTCCCTGGCCTCACCTCCAAGGCAGGTGGATCTTCAGGCCTAAGAAGACAAGGATGAGGCATATGAGGACCAGGATGGGAAGCAGTTGAGGGTACAAGTCTCCCTTTATCTCTGAAAAGGAAGAAAACACTGGGTGAATTTGACCAACCTCTACGAGAGGCCACCTGGGCTGGGTGTGGAGGGCACTGGGTCTGGGCTGGAGTGGAAGGGGGTGGGAAGGCTGCTGGTGCCTCACAGTGGGATGGACCTGGCTTCAACTCCTGCTCCCACCCCCACCCTAGGCAAGTGATTTCATCTCTCTGAACCTCAGTTTTCTCATCTGCAAAATGGGGATAATAATTCCCACTTCACAGATACATTAGGAGGATCAAAGGCCCTGACAGGAGAAGCACCTGGCACCCAATGCAGGGCCTGGCAAGCAGGGGCCCCAGAAACGCTGTGGAACAGCTACAAGGGGATGCATGACTGAGTGGGTACCTTCCAGCCGTGCTGAAAATCTCAGGGCTCAGGGCCACTGCACTAGGACAAGATTTAGTACAAGGAGTGGGTATCCATCCCTGCTTCACATCTTACCTTCTGGCTGGGTGTGAAAGACGACTGGGTCACTCCACTCGCTCCAGGTCCCCTGGAAGGAGGACTCAGGCTGGGGGCCTGCCCGCACCTGCAGCTCGTAGCTTGAGCCTTTGTGGAACTCCAAGGGCAGGAGAGAGACGCTGCTCGAATCCACTGAGATCAGCTTTCTCACTGGACTCTGCCAACACAGGGAAAGGATGCACTGGGTTAGGACCGCCCAGGCCAGCCCCCGCCTCCAGCAGAACCACCCTTTACCAGCCCCCAGGAAAGGGGTGGAGTTTCTCCTGGCAAGTCTCCGCCCCCTCCACAAGAGTCAGTCTGAGCTCTGGCCACTCCAGTGTGGGCAGCACAGAGCAATGGGCACTGCCCTGGCCTTGCCTGTGATACAGTGCTTTGTTCGGTTTCTCTCTGATTCCAGCTCAGTGACTCACAGCCCCACAGGGGACCCTTCCGGCTGGGCCTGGGAATGTCCCAGGAACAGCAGTGGCCATTCCTGGGAATGTTTAGCTGGCAGCATTCCAGACTCTGGACACTTCTGTAATTCTTCAACAGTGGCTATTTTCAATAGTGGGCACTTCTGGGCGTCTTTAACTACAGGCATCTTAGCAATGGGTACCTCTGGAAGTCTTCCACTGGCGATGGTCTAAACTATGGCATTTATGAAAATCTTAAACTGAGACCGTTCTAAAGGATGGATAATTCTAGAATACTTCAGCTGTGACTGTTCTAAATGGTGGGCCATTCTGGAACTCTCCAACACTCTAAACAAAGAATGCCTCTAGAAGCCTTCACGTTTGAAACAACGGTCCCTTTGACACTGAATTTTCTTGGTTATTGATAGTTCTGGAACTCTCCAACTATGGCCCTTCTAATCAAAGTGGGAATGTTCCAGTCTGCCCCATTTCTGAAATGTCTTCTACTGTGACGGTACTAGACTTGAGATAGAACCAGGGACAGTGTTGATCCCTTCCTCCTTGGCACACCGATAGAGGAGAAAACAGGAAGGAACGAATTTTAAGGGGTCTCCTACCCCAGGGAGAAATGACGCAAGGGCAGCACGGAGTGAGAGAGCGCAAGGGAGAGCGTCCATCCCCGGCAAGTCCTTGGTTTCCACTCTGGACTGTGAATTACAAGCTCCCCTGTGTCTGCCCCTCCCCTCAACCCGGATGCTCGGCACTGCCCCTCCCCCTCCGCCCCCCCACCCCGCCCCAATCCTCTGAGGGTCTCACCAGAGCCCAGGGGTCTCCGAGCTTCCTGTACCGCAGCTCATACTGAAGTTTGCCCTTCAGCACGTAGAAACTGTAATTGGAGCTCCAGGAGATGTTATAATGTCCGGAGAAGGTCACGGTCACATTGAAAGGGGGAGCTGGCTTGACTTAGAGGAAAAAGCCAGAAAGATAAAATGGGATGAGATTTTGCAGCAGACACCCTCTCACCCCACTGCCCCACCACTGGGAACCTAGGGCCAAAATCCCCCAGAGATTCCTCGCAGAGGCTGGGCCTTCCCGAGGAGGGCAGGACTCTCTTAGCCGTCTGCATTTGCATGCCTCTGAGCATGGGCTTCTCACCCCCTCTGTGGAAATCCCACTTTGGACACACACACACACACACACACACACACACACTAAAAGCTGCCTCCTGGACCCGCCCTGGGTCTGGACCCACAGAGACAACTGCTTCCACCAGCCAGCACCCCCCCCCCCCCCCCCCCGCTCCCGGCCTGGAGGGAAATTCCAGGCCTCACTGGAGCTAATGAATGGGAGAAAACTCAGGGAAGTTTTTCTCTTGGGACTCAGTGTCCCCACTTGCCTCATAATGTAGACAGAATCCCTAAGAGTCAGGGTTAAAAGGGCCCTCACTTTACAAATAGGGAACCGGTCCAAGTTCACAGATAGGCAGGGGCTGAACCAGAACTGAAGGCCGAGATCCTGGGTCCCAGTCCAGCTCCTTTTCATACCGCTGCTGCCTCTCTTTGGTTAAAGCTCAAACCTAGTTAGCAACCCATCACACCTTAGTAAATATCGGTGCATCTACAGAGCAGAACTCTAAGGGGAGGTAAGGACATAGGACAGGTCAGCTATGATGGTGCAGGAAGGGGAGCCGTCTCAGGGACCACGTGTCCTCCTCAGCTCTGGGGTCCAAGGGATACTCACTGCTTTTAGCCAGGACAAAGCTGCCGCACTCCTGGGAGTGGTTGCCTGAATGGTCTGTCATGTTGACACTGAAAACGTCGTCGGCCATGAATTGGAGCATATCCATGTGGCACGTGTACTCTGCATGTGTGGCATTGTGGGTGGACCAGCAGAGGCTGCAGGAGGTGACCTCATCCTCCAGTTCTCCATATGAGTCTTGCCTTCAAGGACAGAGCAGCCGGTTATGGCTGGAAGCCAGCGGGGCTCAGGGGACAGGGCCAGGACCCCAGCCCAGAATCTTGGGGCTGGGAGGGAGTTGAGGTGGCACCGGGGGTCACCTGGTCCAACTACCCCTTTCCCTGGGAAGATACTCCTCCCCTGAAGTAGCCCTGATGGATGGTGTCCAGGCTCGGCTTGTATGCCTCCAAGGGACCAGGAACTCACTACCTCATTTAAGGACAGCACCTTTTAACTTTGGAAATTTGGGCCATTCTTGCCTGGACTGAGCCTAAATCTGTCCCTGTCAGTTCCATCAACTGTATCACTGTCCTACAGAAAGGGTGCTAAGCATTTCAGTTCTCCTTCCTGACCTCCTCTGTCCAACATCTGCTGAATACCTAATAAGTGCTTGTGCTCAGGGCCAAGATAAGAGCCAAATGAACTTCATCCCCTGCTTTGGGTGAACTACCAGGGAGGCTATTAGTATAAGGTTGGGGGGAAATGCTCTGGCTTTTTAACTGCCAATGGGCAGAAACAGAGGGCTTTGAAGTATGTATAGGTGTTCACCAGATATTTATTTCCCTACCTACATCTTCAGGCTGCGAACATGACCACCCTTGAGGGTTAATATGGATGTGTGAACTCAGTTATTTGCTAAATATTTGCTGGAATAGAAACTTCTGCTGAATAAAGTCTCTCTAAACCTCTTGCACAGCAGCCAGGAGGATCTTTAAAAACTGCCTGTCACCCCCATGCCTAAAACCCTCGGGTGGCTTCTCATCACCCACACAATAAAAGCTGGCCCTGGGCTTCCCTGGTGGCGCAGTGGTTGAGAGTCCGCCTGCCGATGCAGGGGACGCGGGTTCGTGCCCCGGTCC